CCCGAGATTGATGTGACGCTCTTTCTATCGGGCTACATTAAAAAATAAATTATTACAGTTAAGTAAAGTTCTGTTGAACATGAACTAAAGAATTTAAACAGTTGATTAACTAACTTCATGATTTTTTTAAATTAAATGAACACTTTTATTTATAAAAATCGTCGCAAAATATTTTTCACTTCGCACTGTCAGTCGGTTGTAAACACAGAGCACTTATTTATATGTTGTTAACATAGATTGATAATGCAGTGTAGAACACTTCTACACTCCATATAGATAACTGTGTAAAACAAACTTTGTTTATGTCATAAAGTTCCCAAATAACTGCGGCAAAGACACTGCACTATAGAGCCAAATTATTAAAAGTGTCGATATTTTAGACGTTAAAATATAATTACATATAAAGAATGTAGTTATATTGAATAATTAAATGTAACACCACACAAGAAATGGTCGTTTATTACTAGAAAAAGGGATAGGAAACTAATATCGACTGAGTTATTCTAAATGAGTCAATCCCTAGCTAAGCGATCTTCGATTCGAACCTCACTTCTATGGAGTGTAGAAGTAAGGAGTACCATATCCCATAGTAGAATAGTTGAAAAAGTTGGCTACTGTAAGCAGTAGATAACAGTTAAAAAGCTTTCCACAACAGCGCTGGAGTAGCTACTGGGATGAAATAAACTAGCAGTTGTCGACGGTTTGAAGTGTGCTGCTAAACGGCTTGTATATAATATTGTTGCGCGCCTAAGTTGACGGCGGGTACCTGGCACTAGCGCCATCTATTGTCGGGTAACAGAGCGAGAAGAGCATTCCAGGATATGCAATGACTAATCTTTCAACCAACAGCGCCATCTAGTATCGAATTGAGGAACTAAGCTTTCTAGAAGCCCCACACTCGATCTTTTTACGCCTGGTCGGTCGGGGCCCCCTATTTACTGGAATATTCTCGAAGTTTTCGTGCACGAGCTCTATATAAAGCTGTTGATAGCCGCGATCGGGGCAGTATTGAATTTGGCGTGACAAGCGAAGCTTTGGAACGAAATAAAGTGAATCAGTGTAATTAATTATTAGTGTCTTTTAAGTTAAGTGAATTAAAGTGTTAATTTTGGTAATTCAATCGGCAGTTTTTATTGTCACGAACCCTTAGCTCGTAACAATTGGTGAGGAAGTGGGATAAAATCATGCCGATTTTACCTAAGGAGGAAACAAGGGTGTCCTTACCCGAAGTCAACGCCAGCAGGAGACGGAACAAAGAAGATTTGGTGGTGCAACGCCGCAGACGTCGGAGGGCCAGCCGCCGGCTGCAGGCCCGTCAGTAGCTCCTACATCTGCAGCACCTGACTTAGGTGCTTTAATGGTGATGCTACAGGAGGAAGCTCGCCGACAAGAGGAACAGGCCTGCCAACAGGAGGAACAGGCCCGCCGTTTGGAAGAGAAACTCAAATGCGATAGGTAAGAGCAGATGCTCCTCATGAAGGACATCCACGCTACCTTCGGAAAAGAGATACGGGAGATGAAGGATAAGGTTGCTCAACATGACAACCGCCTGTCGGAAGCTGAAACCCGAATCGACCAAGTGAACAATCGGGTTGATTACGTAATAGCTGACGTGAAGAAAACGCTGAACGACCTCAAACTTGGGGATGGAACTACAGCTCTCGTAGTAGCTACAACACCTTCACTACGTGGATTCAAAGTGCCGCCATTCGACGGGACTTCTTCCTGGTCGGCCTACAAAATACAGTTCGAGGCCGTCATGGAGGCGAACGGCTGAAATAAAAGCCAGGCCATTACTGCACTCACTCTAGGCTTGCGCGGCCAAGCCTTAACTGTGTTGGAAGCTCTCGGTAAGAAAGTGACCTACGAGCAGCTCCTTAAGGCATTGGAGGTGAGATATGGCGACGCTCACCTGGAACACGTCTTTCGCGCGCAGCTTAAAGATCGCTTGCAACGCAGCAACAAAAACCTGCAGCAGTGGGCCCTTGAGGTGGAGAAGATGGTTCGAAAAGCATACCAGTCTGTACCTGCGCTCATTGAAGGGAACCTGGTGCAGACATTGATCGACGGCATCCGCGACCTTGAGGTCAGAGCTGCTGTGAGGCTCGGGCACCACGAGACGCTTAAGGACGCCTTGGCCCATGCACTGGAGGTGGAAGCCGTGCAGCAGGATCTTCGCTCTCATCGCGTCAAGGAGGTTGCAGCAGCTACGGTTCGCGACCGCAATAAAGAATACAGCCCTAGTTGCTATGGCTGTGGGGAAAGGTGCCATCTTCGATCCAGCTGCCCTAAGCAAATCGTAGAAAGGGAAGGTGAACGATATCAAGAGGGTGGTGCGGCTAATAGCCCCGCCCAGCAGCAGCAGGGAAACGAGTAAAAGCTAGAACTGCGGGGCGGGTGCTGGCCGATGTTAAAAGAGCCCCAAGGATCTTGATCTCACAAACCCATGATGGGAACAGCCTAATCATCAAGGGCGAGATCAACGGAATGCCGTATAAACTGACCATAGACACTGGAGCCTCTCGCACGGTTGTTAGTTCCCAACTTATAAGACAGTTCCTTGGGGACTCCGTATACAACCGAGAACGCAATAATTTGATAACAGCCACCGGTCAGCGTATACCCGTCCGTGGAGAGAAGGAGATAGAGTTGAAGCTAGGCAACATGATCTACCTGCATAATGTCATCGTGGCTAATATAATGGACTACCGAATAATTGTTGTGAGACCGACGTTAAGCAAGGTGTTTCGAAATGTGGACAGGAGGAACTTTTTATGGAAGGTGCGTTATCAGGGAACGTGTACAGCATTAAGAAGATTGTTCTTCCGCCGAGATCACAGCATCTCACCGTTGTGTACTTGTGGAAAGGGTAAACAATGACCTTCCATGGAAAGTAGCTCGAACATTGGTCAGAACCACATACATCTCAGGAGTACGTGTGCTGAACCTTTGTGACCAGGAACAGATTATAGAAAAAGGCACACTAGTTGGTACTTGTGAGGAAGTGGATTGGTTACGTCGGTGACAATATCTATCGAGTGGGACCCACAGCAAGGGTTCACAAACGAGAGTGACCACACTTTTGGATTCTCTCCCCTAACGAAATGGTCAAGGCGAAGAAGTTGTTACTCAAGTACGCTGATGTATTCTCATCAAACGATGCTGACATAGGAAAGACTGGCTTAGTGCAACACAAAATAAACACAGGAGAAGAATTGCCCATCCGTCAGCGTCCAAGAAGATTGCCGGTAGCATGTGAAAAGGAAGTGGAAACCATGATTGAAGGAATGGTGAAGGATGGTGTTATTGAACCTTCATCTAGTCCATGGTGTTCACCCGTGGTGCTGGTAAAGAAGAAGGTTTTGTGTTGACTACCGCCGTCCGAACGACGTTACAAAGAAGGACAGCTATCTCTCGCCAAGAATTGACGACACGCTGGACATGCTTACAGGAGTAAAGTGGTTTAGCATGCTGGATCTAAAAAGTGGCTACTGGTAAGTTGAAATTGACTCTAAGGATAAGGAGAAAACTGCGTTCTCGACGAGAAAGGGTCTATGGCAATTTAAAATAATGCCGTTGGGATTGTGCAATGCTCCAGCAACGTTTGAAAGGCTGATGGAGCTTGTACTTACCGAGCTAATTGGCGATGCCTGTCTGATCTACTTGGATGACATCTCATCGTGGGACGTACGTTTGAGGAACACCTTCAAAACTGAAACGCGTGCTCATAAAGATTCAGAGTGCCAACCTCAAATTGATTCCGAAGAATTGTTCACTATTCAAACGGCAAGTCAACTTTTTGGGGTATGTAGTATCGGAAGAAGGTATCCGCACGGATCCGGACAAATCGCCGCTTTCAAGGATTGGTCGGTTCCAAAAGACAAGACGCAAGTTAGAGCATTTTTGGGTTTGTGCTCCTATTACCAGCGATTTGTGAAGAACTTTGCAGATATAGCCAAACCTCTGCATAAGCTAACCGAGGAGAAGCGACATTTATTCTGGGGTGAAAGTTGCAATATCGCATTCCAGGAGCTCAAGGACCGTCTGTGCAATACACCTATTTTGGGATACCCTGATGCAAGCAAAGAATTTAAAGTTGACGCAGACGCAAGTGATATAGGACTTGGCCTTGTGTTGTCTCAACGGAATGGTGAACAAGAGGTCGTGATAGCGTACTTCAGCAAGTCGTTGTCAAAACCGGAAAGGAACTATTGTGTCACAAGACGCGAATTGCTAGCTGTGGTAAAGTCGTTGCAGCATTTTAGCAAATATATTCTGGGGCGAAAATTTCATTTACGAACTGACCATGCTGCACTAAAATGGCTATTGCAGTTCCGTAAGCTCAGAAAAGTCACGATAATTGATACTACTGTATGCTCGCGACGCGAATGGCGGGAATTGCAAATTTTTTGCTAACTTGCAAATTTTGCAATATTTTCACTTTGAGACAATATTTATGGATTAAACTTACAGTAATTCTTGTTGAATGTATAAACTATCAAACAAAATTATTTTTGGTTGCAAAATTTGGTTTTTATACTAGGTAAAAACACCAAGGAGTACGCATTACCAAAGAGTACGCACAGCTTTTAAATGGTACGAAATTTCAACACTTGGCAGCACTGCGCTAACTGTCAGTTGGCAGTGACGCTTGGAATCACTAGACACGCTTTCAAGTTGGTACCGTATTTATTAGTTTGATTATTGCAATTTAAAGGTTTTGAGTACTTTTAATATTATTTATCAACAATTTCAAAGACATACACGATTTGCATAAGGGTGCCACCTGAATATGTAAGTTATTCTTCAAATTTGGTTATTATATTTTGCTATTAATAAGGTTATAAATGCGATCTTGTTAGAATGATTGTAACTGTCATAGCCAATCGAATTAGCGTGAATCTTAAGAGTGCGCACCTAAAGAGTGCGCTTGCGCACTAGGTAATTATTTATACACACAAACTAATTATTTATATTTTGTTTTTTTATAGATCGCAAATATGTTAAGTTATAAAAGAAAATCAGATAGAAAATTGGTATTTACTGAAGAAATTTTAAAAGATGCAAAGGAAAGAATACGCCGTGGGCAAAGTCAAAGATCAGTTGCAGAGTCGTTGAATGTCCCAGAATCGACTCTAAGAAAAAGACTAAAAGCAGGTACTGTTCCTTGCTCTTTAGGTAGATTTTCAAATGTATTTACTCCTGAATTAGACAGTAACTTGGCAGAGCACTGCCGACGCTTGGATTCATATTTTTATGGTCTGACAAAGAAGGAGCTAGGAAGAGTCGCTTATGATTTAGCAAACAAAAACTGTCTTAATCATAGATTTAATAATGATAAAAAGGAAGCTAGCAAGAAATGGGTCGAAAATTTTGCCAGGCGGCATAACTTCAGTCTCCGTCAACCTGAAAAAACAAGTTTGGCACGTGCTGCAGTATTCAATCGCGTACAAGTGCAACGGTTTTATGATAATTTAAAACAAGTACTTACAACCTTCAAATTTGTTGGCAGACAAATTTTCAACATGGATGAAACTGGCCACCAGACAGTGCCAAACAAGCTACCTAAAGTTTATGCTAAAAAAGGCAAGAAAATTGTAGGAAAATTTGTTTCCGCAGAACGTGGACAAACAGTAACGGCTGTTTGCTGTATGGGTGCTACTGGAATATTCGTACCACCTGCATAAATTTTTCCTAGAAAGCGGCAAAAACCCGAATTGATGGATGGAGCTCCATGGGACCCCTACAGCTTGTATCCTATTCTGGTTATATGAACTCAGATCTATTTATAATCTGGCTAAATCATTTCATTAAGATGGTCAAGCCATCTAAAGATGAACCTGCTCTTTTGATTTTAGATAATCATTCATCTCATTTAAGTTTACAGGCTATTGAATTAGCTAGGGATCATGGAGTTGTTCTTTTGAGCTTAGCACCAAACACATGCAGAGTTTGGATACAGGATTTTTTGGACCATTAAAAAAAGCTTATGCAGTTGCATGTGACAATTGGCAAGTTTGAAATCCAGGTCGTGCTATAACTCAATATCAAGTTGCTCGACTATTTGGCACTGCATACCTTAAGGTTGGTTCAATCGATAGAGCTAAGAAATCATTCGAATCTTGTGGCATCTGGCCTTTTAACGATCAGATTTTTTCGAATGAAGATTTTGCTCCTGCAAATGTCACTGACCATCCCAATCCAACTGCAGAAACTTCAAGTGCAGGCAAAGCCCTTAATAGTTCAAATCTAGCTGTTGAATTGCCACTTACAACTACATAAACTGTTACCCAATTTGTCTCGTCACCTATACGATAATCAAATCAATATTAATATTTCAGCTCCAGATATAGCATTGTCTCAACTTGGAGGAACCGAAACCCTTGAATCAACTGATAATCACCAGGAAGTAATAACAATACCAGAAAATGACGAGTCAACACCATCCAAATCATCAATCTTACCATTACCAAAGTCAAACATTCAGAAAAAAAGAAACACAAAACGTAAGAAATCAGAAATCCTTACCAGTTCTCCTTATAAAAATCAAATAGAAGCAGAACAAAAAGAAAAAGAAGAAAAGGCCAAGAAGACAAAGAACACATCAAATAAAAATAAATCTGGGACACCAAATAGACCGACACTGCTGGAAACAAGTACGGGTACAGAAGTTGTTCGATGCCCCCTTTGTGCCGAAGTCTACGTAGAACCTCCTGATGAAGACTGGATCCAATGTAGTCAGTGTGGGGCTTGGTGGCACGATGAGTGCTCTGACTATCTAGGGTTCGGAGTTTTTAAGTGTGACGTTTGCCTTGGTTAAAGTAGATGTTCCACCATGGACAAAGCTTCCATTACCCTCATGCGTACTCTTAACTAGTACTAAGAGCCATGGATGCGCACTCTTTAAGTCATTGTACCTTAAGAGTGCGCGTGAGACACGTTCTTGTTTTTATTAATTATTAAATATTAATGGATGTTGATTAATAATAAGAGTAAAAAAAGTGTTCCTAAAGAACTAAAGCCTAATTATAAGTAAAATTGAAGACTGAACTCAAAGTCGATTATTTTAAAAATAAATCTGTAAAAACTGCGCACTCTTTGGCATTTTTACCCTAGTAGTAGTATATACTTCACTTTTAGTGCCAAAATTACTACTAATTTGAATTCTACACTTTTGTTTTTGGAGAAATTTATATGAAAATGTTTGGAAATATGTATATTTTTATGTTTTATGTGTTTCTATTCGTTACTCATACCAAAATATAAAAAAAAATATTTATCTGTATGACATTTCGAACAATATTTCTAATATGTTTTTGTGTGAATTTGAAATAAATACAACGTCAAGTCATTTGAAATATGTTATAAAACTATTTTTAGTTACATTTTACACTAAAAATAAATGAGAATTGGAAAAATAACACATTTTTGACCCAACCGCCAAAATGGGCCTTCTCGATTTCGAAGTACTTTTGGGCACTTACTTTTCACTTTTGTGCCACAAATTATATATCTACGTGTTTACTATATTACAAAGAATGTAAATAAGTATAATACTTTCGCTTTTGGTCCAGACACAAATATAAAATTCTATAAAAAAGACGGAGCACATTCTGCAATGCGACAGGTGGAACGTTGAAAGTTCAGAGTGATTTTTTTTTCTAAAAAACATTGCCAGGTTATGGTTTAAAATAAAAGAGCATATCTTCGTGTTTTACTATATTATTCATTGCATATTGTCTTTGGTTTTGTTTAAAACAAAAAAATTATTATTTCATAGGGCAGTATTTGGTATCAAATTCGATACCTTCCTGAGCCAGCCGTTTAGTAGATAGGTAGTTTCTATGATATCGAATAAGGGTATAGCCATGAGCTAACAGGTTAAAAATCCAGAAAGACAAGTTGCGAGGTGGATTGAACTACTGCAGGAATACGACTTTGAGATCGAACATCGCAGCGGGAAATCTCATGGCAACGCAGATGCATTGTCAAGAAGACCTTGTCCTGAAGATTGCAAACATTGTACTAGGCAAGAGAGTAAGGAAGTGGTATCCGTGAGGATACTCAGGACAGACCACCTCAGCAACGAGTGGAAGGACAGCTTACTACATGCACAGCAGGAAGATCCGGACTTCAAGCCGATTCTGGAATGGATAAACGCCAGTGCTCCCAAGCCCAAGTGGAGCGACGTCTCAGCGATGAGTTCGACCACTAAAAGCTATTGGGCTCAATGGGACAGCTTGCTGCTTCAGGATGGAGTTCTATGCCGTAAATGGGAAACTGTTCGGGGAGACAGCTGTCATTTACAAATGGTCGTCCCTAACGCCGGATAGAGTACCGGATGTTCTACAGCTGTACCATAATGATTGTTCAGGAGGCCATCTGTGAGTTAAACGAACTCTACTGAAGATCCGAGAACGGTTTTACTGGGTCCACTGTCGAAAAGATGTCGAGGACTGGTGTCGCAAATGTACAAGTTGTGCGGCTGTAAAGGGACCTCAGACTCGTAGTAGAGGTGCGTTCAAGTTGTATAATGTTGGTGCACCATGTGAGAGAATAGCCATTGACGTGGCGGGGCCGTTTCTGGAGAGTGAAAGCGGTAACAAGTATTTCATGGTTGTGATGGATTACTTCACTAAGTGGCCAGAAGTCTTCGCCATTCCAAATCAAGAAGCTTCAACAGTTGCAGATAAAGTAATTCATGAAGTCTTTTGTCGTTTTGGAGTAACTTTAGAGATTCACAGCGAAGGGAGGAATTTTGAGTCTCAAATATTCCAGGAAACTTGCCGAGTTATGAGTACTCATAAAACAAGAACGACTTCTTATCACCTGCAATCTGATGGAATGGTAGAAAGATTTAATCAGACATTGGAGAGGTACCTAGCAAAAGTTGTAGACAATTGGCAACGAGATTGGGACAAGCACATACAACCATTTTTGTCGTCATATCGAAGCGCTGTTCACGAAATTACATCAGTGACATCAGCTTTCGCGAACTTTGTAAGAGAATTACGGCTGCCTGCGGTCCTGATCACCGGGATACCACCTGATGTTACGCAGTATAACCGACTATGCAAATGACTTGCGGAACAACATGAATGACATTTATTAGCACGTCAGACAATCGGGCCAGCAAATGTCTGAAAATATGAAAACCTGGTATGATCGCAAAATTAACAACAAAGGGTTCGAAGAAGGTTCACTAGTGTGGTTGCAAAATCTAGTCCGCAGCAAAGGGAAATCTCCTAAGCTTCAAGCTAAAAGGGACGGCCCGTACCGGATTGTGACCAGGATCAACGATGTAACCTACCGGATACAGAAAGGCGCAAGAGGGACTCCAAATATCGTCCATGTGGATCGCCTGGCGCGTTATTATGGGGCCGATAATGCTCGAGACGAGCACGTCTTAGGAGGGGGCGGTGTTGCGCGCCTAAGTTGACGGCTGGTACCTGACACTAGCGCCATCTAGTGTCGGGTAATAGAGCAAGGAGAACTTTCCAGAAAATGCCATGACTAATCTTTCCACCAACAGCGCCATCTAGTATCGTATTGAATAAATAAGCTTTCTAGAATCCCCACACTCGATCTTTCTGCGCCTGGTCGGTCGGGGCCCCTTATTTACTGGAATATTCTGGATGTTTTCGTGGAAGAGCCCTATATAAGGCCGCGATCGGGGCAGTATTGAATTTGGCGAGACAAGCGAAGCTTCGGAGCGAAATAAAGTGAATCAGTGTGATTAATTATTAGTGTCTTTTAAGTAAAGTGAATTAAGATGTTAATTTTGATAATTCAATCGGCAGTTTTTATTATCACGAACCCTAAACTCGTAACAATATAAAATACCCGATACAAAAGTTACGCTCTCATCCTCCACATTTTTTTAAAACAATGTGGGGCAGGCACACAGCACCACACACGCTGTGTGCGGTAAGCGCCAACCAACTAACGCGCTCCCCCCGAAGAGGACGTTAAGTTGGGAACTGGACCGTAGTCCACTGCAAAATAACTGGCAAGCCAGTAAAAGTGGACTTGGCCCCTTGGTAGTGCGTAAGCACAAACATTTACCGAAGTCACGCATGTCGATGCGTGTAAATGCAATACATAATACGAACAAATCCAGCCACAGTGAATGTACGCCACACGGTTTAGGCAATTAAGCACACTGGCCATAAAAAACCTCCGTGAGTGCCACCACCTGCCAGACCGCCGTTGCTGCAGCCGTGATGTAATTGTATGGCATCACCAAGGATTGCATGATCGGCGCGGCTATTCTATTCGCTCGATTCGCTCGCTCACTCCACCCCACCATCCCCTTCCAACCTAACCTGGCCGAGTCGGGGTGCCCTAAGTCCCGAACTCACTTCGCTCGCTCTTGCACTTAACAAAACACCAAAATATTAGCTTTTATAATTACTTTAAATTATAAACATAATATATAATACAAGAATAACAACACTACGGCTCGCACAGGTGCCTACGATTTGCTACGACGAGCGGAGGCTGCTCTCCCTCCGCACCTACGGCTTTACAAAAACACTTTAGGAGTAGAGCAGACAAGACTACGTGGATTCCGGGCATGCTGATTTAATTTTAGTACAGATTCGATCAGATCAAATATTTATAGTCAGGTTGCCTATGCTCCCGCCACAGACACAAAATTCTGTATGCCATCCAGCTTTCTCAGTAC